TAACACGGTGAAACCTCATCTCTACTAAAAAAAATACAAAAAAATAGCCGGGCGAGGTGGCGGGCGCCTGTAGTCCCAGCTACTCAGGAGGCTGAGGCAGGAGAATGACGTGAACCTGGGAGGCAGAGCTTGCAGTGAGCCCAGATCATGCCACTGCACTCCAGCCTGGGCAACAGAGCGAGACTCCGTCTCAAAAAAAAAAAAAGAAGAAATAATGACGTAAGTTGTCCCCTCTTTCTCTCCACCTCAGCTACCAAATAGGGAAGGGCCCCCTGTCTGGTGGACACGTGACTCATATGACCTTACCTATCATTGAAGATGGCTCTCACTCCATGCCCTGCCCCTTTGCCTTGTACACAATAAATAACACCACGGCCAGGCATTCGGGACCACTACTGGTCTCTGCGTTTTGGTGGTAGTAGTCCCCCGGGCCCAGCTGTCTTTTCTTCTATCTCTTTGTCTTGTGTCTTTATTTCTACGATCTCTCGTCTCCACACACGAAGAGAAAAACACACAGGCCCTGTAGGGCTGGACCCTACACAAAACTATAGGACCAAAAATGTGGCGAGTTTGATTATGCAAAAGCAAGGTTATCTATTCAAGGAAGCCCAACATAGACACATTAATATTAGACACAACAGACCTAATAACAGAAGTAACAAATGGGAGAGAAATTTACAACATGCAAAATCAAGGAGAAATCAGTATCTAAAATATACAAAGGTGTCCAGCTGTCGTGGCTCACACCAGTCATCCCAGCACTTTGGGAGGTTAAGGCAGGGGAATCACCTGAGGTCAGGAGTCCGAGACAAGCCTGGCCAACATGATGAAATCCCATGTCTACTAAAAGTACAAAAATTAGCCAGGCATGGTGGTGGGCGCCTGTAATCCCAGCTACTTGGGAGGCTGAGGCAGGAGAAACACTTGAACTGCGGAGGCAGAGGTTGCAGTGAGCTGAGATTGCGCCACTGGACTCCAGCCTGGGCAACAGAGCAAGACTCTGCCTCAAAATAAATAAATAAATAAAACAAAATATACAAGGGGCTGGGGGCAGTGGCTCATGCCTGTAATTTCAGCACTTTAGGAGGCTAAAATGGGCAAATCACTTGAGCCCAGGAGTTCAAGACCAGTCTGGGCAACATGGCAAAACCCTGACTCTAGTAAACAAAACAAAACAAAACAAACAAACAAACAAAAATTAGCTGGGCATGGTAGGTGAGCGCCTGTAGTCCCAGCTACCTGGGGGGCAGAGGCACAAGGGTCACTTTAGCCTGGGAGTTCGAGGCTGCAGTGAGCTGTGTTTGTACCACTGCACTCCAGCTTGGGTGACAGAGTGAGACCCTGTCTCAGAAAATAAACAAAATGAAATAAAATAAAATATACAAGAAACTTCATGCCAGTCAACAAGGACAAAAATCCAAGAAAACAAAAATGGACAAAGGGTATGAACAGGTAATATACAGGGAAAATTTCAGAAAAAGTTCACAAGCATATTAAAAGACGCTTAAAATAATTAGTAATAGAAGGCCGGGTGTGGTGGCTCACACCTGTAATCCCAGCACTTTGAGAGGCTGAGGCGGGCAGATCACGAGGTCAGGAGATTGAGACCATCTTGGCTAACACGGTGAAACCCCGTCTCTACTAAAAATACAAAAAATTAGCTGGCCGTGGTGGTGGGAGCCTGTAGTCCCAGCTACTCGGGAGGCTAAGGCAAGAGAATGGTGTGAACCCGGGAGGCGGAGCTTGCAGTGAGCCAAGATCACGCCACTGCACTCCAGCCTGGGTGACAGAGCGAGACTCTGTCTCAAAAT